ATTTGCAGGATGGGAAAATCTACCGTTTTGCCTGTAACAAACCAAAAGAGTCACCTACTCTTCATGTAGTCATTCCCAGCAAAGCTGTCCCCCAGGTGTTACAGTTTTTACATGGACATTCCACTGTAGGTCACCTTGGTCATAAAAAGACACTTGCAAGAGCTAGAGAGCATTTCTACTGGCCATACATGACTAGAGACATAGAGAACTACTGCCAACAGTGTGTCCCATGTCAGTCAAGATCTATGCCAGTCCCACATCGTGTAGCTCCCCTGCAGACTATTCATGCCAGTCGTCCTTTTGAAAAGGTGGCAGCTGACATTACCGAGCTTCCTGTGTCACCATCAGGCCATAAATATGTCCTCGTTCTCCAAGACTATTTCACAAAGTATGTGAATTTGTACCCTATGAAAGACCAAAGAGCTGTAACGGTTGCACAATGTATTTCTGAACAGTATGTCACAGAGCATGGTGTTCCTGAATGCCTTCATACAGATCAAGGCCATCAGTTTGAGGCAGATTTAATCAAGGAGTTGTGTTCCAAGTTGGATGTCACCAAAACCAGGACTTCTCCTTATCATCCTGAGGGAGATGGTTTAATCGAAAGATTCAATCGCACCCTGAAAGATCAGTTGAGTAAATGTCTGTACCAGCAAACAGAGCCATGGGATACCATGTTAAGGGCAATCCATTTTCTTATAATACTAGTGTAACACCCTAGGCTAGTTAGGTCCATGCAGAAACTTGTGAACGATGCTCTTAGTTGTGGCATCACCGTTTAGTGACATCATTGAATGCTCCAGGAAAACGTATCGTCAGTGTCGGTCACAGCGCCTTTTAATTGCTGTTTTGAATCCAGCAATTATTTATTTACAAATTATAAGCTCTGATTATGACAAGTGTGGTATAAAAGCTTTGTTTATTAGAGGAATATTTGGTTAGCTGGAAAATGTTACATCTCGAGCATGCTTTTGGATGTCGATGTCCATGCTTTTGGCTTTGTTCTGGTTTGCCGGTTGGTCACGAATTTCCACAAATTCAATAATATTTAGGCATTGTTTCTTTTCCTAAATCCTCATCGTCTAACCCTCTAATTTCACAGGTTTAACCATGCTTTTGGATTTCGTTCGAGCCCTGCATTTATGCGACTTTGTTCTGGTTTGCCGGTTGGTCACGAATTTCCACAAATTCAATAATATTTAGGCATTGATTCTTTTCCTAAATCCTCACCGTTTAACCCTCTAATTTCGCAGGTTTATTTTATTGTCATTCACTTTTTATCACTGTTTTCGCATCTCTTACTGTGATAAACATGCGGGATGGGAAATTAAAGATTTCATGGCAATGAATTAACAATTCGTTCGATTTATTAATTTGTTCCCTCATTTTAGTTAAATCATGGGTAATTTAAGGAACACAATTAATGAAACATGGACAGTGGCCACAAATTAACAAGTCATAGGAACGAATGAACAAGTTGTAGGAATAAATATCCTATCTGTCCTGTGTTCCGCAGCCCTGCTAAGTGCACGATATGAAACAATTATCTGGGGAAATTAGATACAACATTTCTATTGCTTTCCATGTTGAAGAACTTTGTGTTGTTCCTATTTTAATGTACTTTTAAAGTTTAAATCGCATTAAAAGCTTTATTTGGACATTATGGATGAATGATGATGCATTTATATACTGTCACTCACAGCCGCTCGCACGTGTTTTGCGCATGAGCCACATGCAGCCAAAATTAAATAGCTTAATCGACCATTGATAGCTTTGCATCTCTTATCGACAATTAATCGATCATCGATTAATCGTTGACATCCCTAGCATATATATATATATATATATATATATATCTTGAAATAAAATTACTCATATTGTGATATGAGATTCTGGTCATATTATTAGTGAAGTGACATGTGGCCAAGTATGGTGACCCATACTCGGAATTAGTGCTCTGCATTTATCCCATTCATTTATCCCATTATCTACCCCTACTACTGTCACACCCCTGTGGACTGTCGCTTGTGGTTTCTCCCTCTGTGTCCTTATTTGGTTGTTCCTGTTCTCATTATCAGTTAATCACCTTATTGTGCTCACCTGTCTGCCCCTCGTTATCTGCCCTATATTAGTTCCTGCCTCTTGTAGTCTAGTTGGTCGGTTAGTGTAAATGCCAATGTCAGTGTCCATGTCCATGTCCATGTTCCTGTCTATGTTGATGTCTACCCTGTCTGGATTTCCTGTTGCTTTATTAAATATCCTTTGATTCGTCATCTTCGTCGTCCTGCCTGTTCTTTAGAAGACCCGTACCGTGACAGAATAACTGACCCAAAAGAGTTTAACTTCCGTGTTCTCCCCTCCGTGCCTTGCCAATGTACGCGTAATAGCATCGCTTTGACCGTAAATCCCACCTTCTCACACACACCATGATTGGTCCATTATGTACAATGCCTGCATGTTATTGGTCAAACTACTTTTCGATCATTACCTTCAGCAAGCATGAAAACAAAGCCAAAACAAACCCTGGCAAGGACGCGTGTCCGGGAAAATTTGCACGTATGGTCACCCTAGTCTATCAACAATTGACTGCAGGGATTTCCAAAGTGTTCCTTGTCATCTGGCTGGTAAAGTCAAGTCAAATGTATTTGTATAGCACTTTTCACAAAACAAAACAAATAAATCTTTATCTTCAAGCCTTATAGTCCACATGTGTCAAACTCCGGTCCTGGAGGGCCACTGTCTGTAGTAGCTCACTGGAAGTTTCTAGTGAATCTGAAGACCTTGCGTAGCCGGTTCAGGTGTGATTAATTAGGGTTAGGGTTAACTCTGCAGGACAATGGACGTCTAGGAACTGAATTTGACACGCTTGGTTTACACACTGCTCATATATGCAGTGTAAAACGATCAGAATCTCTTGGTAGCCTTTCAGTAAATTGATTTATCATAAGAAAATGATTCATAAAATTTGGAAGGGTAACACTTTATTTCAACAGTCCACTTTAGATATTCTACTAATAGTAAGTAACTTTGCAACTACATGTCAACTAGCAGTCATTAGAGTATTAGTAGACTGTCTGCTAAATATCTTCTAACACTTTATTTTGATGGGTTCACTTTAGATTGTGATTAGGACAGAAGTGTTTATTAAACTAAAATAATAATAATAAAAAAAAAATACTTTGCAATAAATAAACTATTTTTCTATATCCATCTAATTTCATTTTTCACCATTTTGTTCCACTCAATAACAGCTCTGTTCTGAGAGAGAGAATATTTGACAAGTTGTGCCAAAGGCCAAAATTTATTATATGCTGTACGTGACTCTTTATCATATTTAAGACCAAAGCTCATTCCATAAATTAACTTTATCAAGTTTTACATAAAAAAAGTTATAAAAAAAAGTTATTAAAATGTGGGCCTGTATTACACTGAGAAACAAAAAGGACCATTACATTGTAATGTAACCCCCAAATGGCAAGACAGGTTACAGCCTTGGAGTGAAGAATTTAATCTTATGCTGGGTACACACTAAAAGATTTTTAAAATCTTATAAGATCTTCAAAATGTGAGAGACCACAAACATGAGGACAAAAAATCCTAGATTTAACCGTTTTGCTCCTATAGTGTGTGGTGTGGCGCGATGTTCAACATGTTTAATATTTACGATTCGCGATTGGGGCGCCTTCGACGTTCTTCCGAGCAGATTCAGTTACTCTTAACACACCTCACACCACAGGAAAATCTGATAAGATCATCTTTTGAACCAAGATAATCGGGACATTACCTAGGATTGTCGGAAGGGGAGAAATCGGCCCAAAATCAGCCTGATTATCTTATGGTGTGTACCCAGCATTACATACTTTTTTAAAATCTCTCAACAGTCCATTACAAGTGTTCAGACTCATGCTCCTCGTCACATTTTCTGTCAGTTGGACTGTTAGAAGAATGTCTTTTTCTGAACCTGAAAAAAAGTATAATTATTTACAGTATACAACAAAAATGTGCTATATCACTAAAATGTCAAATGATTTACAATTGTAACACCACTCAATATTTGCAATATTTCTAAGTTGTTCTCTTGTGCACAAGCAAAAACAAATACTGTTAAAAGACCATATAGAAAATATAGGTCCCAAAGCAGAAACTCAGCAGAATGAAATACACCTGTGATCATTGACAAGTGAGTGAGTACAGCTGTGATTTCCAACGCATGAACATGGTTATAAAATGAGCTGTGAATACCAGAACTATCTGCATGTCTGCATCATTACTCCACATTGACAAGAATTTCCAGGGGAATTAGGCAATTAAAAATAAGTGGAAACAGTTGAAGGAATCAGGAGGTATAGAATGAGCCACAGTGGTCGTCCTCCTAAAACGATACTTGAATAATCTAGCTCTGAAGAACAGATGGGCAAGTTCTTCAGGCTTGGCACTTCAATGGAAATCAGCTACTGTGACAGATCAGACAGTTCAAAGCACGTTGCATAACATCAACATCCACCCACAGGAAGCACTACCACAGTCAATACATTGTCCTGACAGTGAAGCACGAAGGTTAGAGTGAGGGGGAATGATATTTAATATATAACGATGATGGGGAGATGACATTTACCAGCAGCCATATCACCCTGCAACCCAAGACTGGTTACCCACTGAAGCTATCATCCAGGTGGATGCTGCACACTGCTGGTGGATGAGGAGATACCCCCTCACAATGTAAAGCGCTTTGAGTGCCTAGAAAAGTGCTATATAAATGTAATGAATTATTATTATTATTATTTTGTAGTCTTTTGAAAGGATAACATATAGAAATTACTTTAACAAATAAACCTAACTAGTTGGAAGTGGAACGGAAACTACGGAAAAAAATAGTTACAATCAGATTTTGATCAGACGCTTGATAATAAATAAATACAGATTACAGATTATGTAACATAAGTCACTTTCTGAAAAGCAAGAGAAAGAATTTATTTATTCTTTTTTTATTTGTTTTTTTTTATGCAAACTAGGTTGTGACGTCGTTTACGCGTTAAAGGGACGCGTCCAGTTTTTCCTCATTTTATGTTTTGCATCATATTTTCTTCACCTCATTGCGTGATCATTTGTGATTTATGCATCGACCTTTGGCAGTGCAGCATCAGCGTCTCGTTTGCTGTGGTTTGTAATGAGTTTAAAGAAGATCAGGGCTTCATAAACTCTTAATTGACGGCCAGCTGTGTCAGCTGAAGGCATGATGCTGTCAAGCGCTAACACGCTGGTGAGTCAGGAGCGCTTCTCAAACGCGTTTAGTTGGTGGGAAAGTGATGAGAGATTTGAGATACAGTGTGCTTGCTCGTTCAGCCGAAGCTGTATCTGTCCGTCATCGAGGATGTGATCGAGAGCATCAGAGAGCTGTTTTGTGATGAAGGAGTGGAGGGACGAGTGCTGGACAACCTCAGACAGGTAACAGTCACCTATTAAAGACTGGCTTTGACATGATATAATATTAAACCTGCTTGTGAGCTGCGCTGATTTCTGATGGTGATAATGTGATCACGACAGTGGCATACCCGCACATCTGGATGCGTTTACACTCGACATGCGACCTGTGTCCAGATGTCGTCCACATACACACTGAAAAGACCAGCGTAAACGCGCTTCTGATGCGAATGTTATCCGATCAGCGTGTCCTGGTCCAGAGGTAGTTTTTTAGAAAATAGTTTTCCAAAGAAAACCCACCACTTCGGGTAGACTTTGCACCGCAGACTTTTTTAAATATTGCGCGGGAAATACAGATCCGATCGGTTATCCAGATCGAGAAGTCCGCTGATGTTGCCAAGTGTAAACGCGCCGTGTCCTGATTGACTGATGATCGATCTGCTTGATCAGATCACGGTGATCGCATGTTAATGCCAAGTGTAAACGCAGCCTTAGAGGCCCCCCGCAAAGAACGAGATGGGGCCCCTCCCACCAGCAGCGATGTCATTTACGAACATTTATTTTGCACCTGCTGCAATTATACTACGGAGTTCGTTTCTCCCATTTACATAACTGATTTCATGCAACTGCATTTCATGCTAATGGCCAGCACGTTTCAGTTCAAACACTGTCCTATAAGACTCGCTAACTGTTCAATTATACAAGCAAAATTCATGTCTTTCAGTAAGAAAAGCGTTTTGTTGCCAAAGTCTTTGACTGCAGCTTTAATGTCGATGTAGCGAGCGCGGGCATTCTCAATACTTAGAGCTAACTGGACAGTCTTCTTTCTTGTAACATTGTGCTCCAGAGAAATGTCTTGATCACTTCCAGTTTCGAGAACGAACGATTAATTGCATGACAAGCTCTGGTGACAAGTCGTCAGTGAACCGCTAAAGCGTTTGCCATTGAAACAGGTCAGCGGAGCAGGGCACAAAAAACCTATAAATATATTTCACTTAAATCATTAACAGATTAACAAAACGAAAGAAAAAAACAAGTGTGCTGAGTTTCTATTCATTGTGACGCGATCCACAGTTCACATAAAGGAAAACCAGGCGGAAAGCCGTTCTCTATTTTGCAAAAGCGTTACAGTTTTATTTTATTTTCTTTCTTTCTATTATTATTATGTATTATTATTATTATTATGTATTATTATTATTATTATTTTGCCAAGGCTATACAGTGATGAATGATGTCTTGCTTGTATGATCAACCAGCGTTGGCTTTAGTTTCCCTTTAAATTAATTTGTTTTGGCTTGAAGTTTATATAGCCTAAATACTGTTAACTTTAGAGGATTTGTTGTGGAGGGATGGGAATAAAATAGCCTGTGTTTATAATGTTTGTAAACATTTTGATTTACCGGTATTTTAGTCTTCATTATTTCTGAATGTAATAGGCTAATAAAATGCGACGTATGTTTTTTCCTCTCGAAACGCAATTTTATACAAGTAGCGTTTTTTAACATGGTTAATTTTCACAAGGGTAGTTGCTCTGATGTGTGTGTGTGTGTGTTTTACTGTGTTTCAGCTCTGGGAGTCAAAGGTCATTCAGTCTAAGGCTGTGGAGGGTTTCATGAAAGACAACAATCCGTCCAATTTTGTTCTGCAGCTTCCAGCGAACTACTCTCAGAGTCTCCATAAACCCACCGGTCTGTTCTGCATCTCAATCACTGTGTTTTCAGTCCACAGCTAATGCAATCGTAATAAATACACGCCGTTACGGCTGCTAGCATCAAGTTAAACGGTCTAAACTGCAATGTTTAACATGTTTGTAACACTAGCACTTCCATCTGTGTGATCATTTTGTTTTACCAGAGACCAGTACCTCTAGTTGAATGAACTCATGCAGGGTTACAGAGCTGGTTTCAGTTACTGTGATCTCAATCACTGATCATTACCTGTGATCAGTGTCTCTCACAACATGCGTTTGCTTTCACACTTTGTCTGTTTTGTTTGTTCATTTATATTTAACGTTTTGCTGTCTGTTCTCAGTTGTCATTCCAGCAGCTCAGAATGTGCCGAGTTTCTCCTCCAAAGCAGTAAGTCAACAAACACAGACCGTCTGTAGTGTACAGGATATATTTCACAGCTATTTAAGGTCACTGGTTTTTCAGATGATCATGTTCAGTACTCAGCATTATAACCTCTTGAACTGTGTATCCAGTGATTCATGCTTGATCCTATGAAGCTGCTGTATCAAACTTTGCTGTTAAACCTGTTTCACTCTCAATCTCCTCATCTCTTCTGTCGTCTGATAGTTTAGAGTGTTTTATCCAGTCAAAGCTCTTTTACTGTAATTGTACAAACGTCCAGCTTCAGCTGGAGCTTCTCGTGTCAAATCTTGACTGATTTTGATCAAGTAAAGGTCAGAATAACTGCAGTAATATCTCCAGATGAACACTTACTGGACTGAAGCAGCTCAGCTTTACTTGATTCTCCATCAATCATGTTTTAGAGTCTCAAATCTGATCCTCAGGATCTTTTGAGGAGCGTTTGTTTCCAGAAGCTTTACTTTCACTGTTCCTCAGCGGAGGAATGATCTTCACAAGCCTCCAGAACATCTCACATCTTCTGAGGAGCCTTTATTTCTTCAGCTCTCAATCGCTGCATTATATGTTTGGAGCATTTCACTCTCATCTTACTGAGACATATTACTGGAGATATAGAGCGACGCCTGATATTTAGATCATTTTATGTCAGTATCTGCTGTATACTGTTATAAATATCTCATTTATTTACATCACAAGCATCAGAATTTCATCGTATAAATATCAGCATCTGCAGCAAATATTTTGCAGCATATTTTTGCTCCATCTCTGAATAAAATTGAGCCTTTTCCCCCCTCCGCATTCTTACTATATCAGACTATGTGAGCCATAAAAGCCTGATGGATCAAATATTATATACAACACATTACATTAACACTTAGCCATTTAGCAGGTGCTTTTATCCAAAGTGACTTACAAATGAGGACAATAGAAGCAATCAATCCAACAAAAGAGCAGTAATGTGTAAGTGCTGTGACAAGTCTCAGTTAGGCTAATGCAGTATATATAGCAAGGCTTTTTAAAATGTATAATAAATAAAAATAAAACAAGTAGATAGAATAGAAATTGAATAGAGAATGCAAGTGTTAGAGGGACAAGTTTTTTTCTAAAAAAACAAATAGAAAAAATAGATTTAGAATAGAGAGTGCTAGAGTTAGAGGGTCAAATGGCGATAACATAAAACACATTTTGTAATGTTTAATTTTGGATTTTAGTTTATTTTTGTTTAAAGGTTTAATAAACTGTTTGTTTTTTCTGACTATTTCATATGTCAGGCTTTACAGGGTTAATATTGATCACACATATTAAATAATGCAGGTTCTCCTTTAAGATCTCACTGAGCTCCTGTAGATTCTGATCTGCTCAGGTGAAGTTTAGAGTGAAATGAAAGTGTACAGACTCTGCATGTGTTTCAGAGCAGCTGTGGTTCTGTCGCGACCTTCTCTCTGCCGGCTGGAATCACGTATCCAGTGCAGATCCCCGCAGGCGTCACGCTGCAGACGGCCTCAGGTCAGACACTCTCTCACACACACACACACACACACACTCACACACACTCACACACTCACGCACACACTCACACTCACACTCACACACACGCACATGCATGCACACACACACGCACACTCACACTCATGCACTCACACACATGCACACTCACACACATGCACTCGCGCACGCACACTCACACACACACTCACACTCTCACACTCACACACGCGCTCACGCACACTCACACTCACACACTCACTCACACTCGCGCACACTCATACTCACACACTCACGCACACTCACACTCTCACACACGCTCACGCTCACACACACACTCACACTCACTCACACTCACACTCGCGCACACACTCACAGTCACACTCACGCACACGCACACACTCACGCACACGCATGCACACACACGCACACTCACACTCATGCACACACACACACGCACACTCACACTCATTCACACACACACACTCACACTCGCACACACGCACACTCGCTCACGCACACTCACACTCACTCACACACTCACACTCGCGCACACTCTCTCGCGCACACACACTCTCTCGCACTCTCTCACACTCACACACTCTCTCGCACTCTCTCACACTCACACACACTCTCTCGCACTCTCTCACACTCACACACACTCTCACTCGCACACGCACACACACACGCACACACTCGCGCACACATACACATACATACATACAACTTTCTACCATCCGTTCCTGGAAATTATATTAAATTTAAATTACTGGTTGATATGTCCCGATCTCAATAAAGTTTACACACACTTTTTGGTCCGTGAATTAGATCTCGCTCGGCTCGCACGCTGTCGAGGTTTGGCCAGGACCGGTTCCAGAATTGAATCACTGAGGCTGCTTTCACATATATTTTATGTTCAGTGTCAATCACTGCTATTTCGAGAGTGAATCCCGCATAAATATGCGTATGTCATTCCCGAAACTTTGCAGGGTGTATGTGTCCGAAAAACGAATGTTTCAAACAAATTCTGAACAGATTATACCAGAAAGTGCCTCCCTTTATCACTAAAAAGCGTCACTCATCTTCGTTCATCGCGATATTCCAAAGTTCCATTATAATCAATGAAGCGCTCTAAACTGCACAATGAATTTCTTATTTACATCGCACTTAGTCATGAGATGATTCACAAGCGTGCAAAAGTGCTCTTAAAAACTGCGGCGTTTCTGACAAAACGTTTCTGATTGGCCATTGTGTTCAAGAAATCAACAGATATGTCTATGATTGGCTACATTGCTCAACGCTGTAAAAACACGGTGAGGGGCCGACATCAGGGATTCCATGACTAACAATTTGGGAGGGGGGCATGCCCCTTGCCCCTCCCTTATGTCGCCCATGTGTGTGTGTGTGTGTGTGTGTGTATATATATATATACACACACACACACACACACACACACACACACACACAGTGAAAACAGGCAGATAGAATAGAAAAAGAATATAGAAAGCTAGTGTTAGCTTTTTTCTTTTAGAAAAACAGTTAGAAAACACTAAATAATAATAATAAATAAAAAAGAAAACAAATAGATAAAATAGAATTAGAATAGAGAGTGCTAGAGTTAGAGGGTCAAATAAAGATGGAAGAGGTGTGTTTTTAGCCGATTCTTGAAGATGGCTAAGGACTCAGCTGCTGGGATAGAGTTGGGTATTTTCAGGCACAGTGAACTTGAAACATTAATTTGAGTTAAAATTATTTAGCTTGCAGAGTGATGGAGGACTTAGTAAAAAGGACATTCAGTAATCCTAAAAACAGGTTCAGATGAATGTTAAAGTGTCTGGATCCAGCATGGTCTGCCACATCAGATCATTCACATGCTGCAGTGTGTTTAATCATGTCTGAGTTACACTTATGAACTCAGCAGCTCTAATCAGAGGCGGACAGTAGTGAAGTATTTGTACTTGACTCGAGTAAATTAAAAAGTGTCTGTACTTTATCAGACTGTTTTTCTTTTACTTCAATACATTCCAAAGCATAATGTCATAGTTTTTACTGCACTACGTTTCATAAATAAAAGTTGTTGTTGTTTTTTACCTTTAATACTTAAGAATATAAAAAATGTAGTACTTTCTTGTACTCAAATAAAACTTTGAATTACTTTTACTTGAGTAAAAGTAAGAAAGTACTAGATTTCTAATGTGATTTAAGTATTAAATTATATTTAATATGAAACGTAGTGCAGTAAAAAGTACAATATTATGCTTTGGAATGTAAAGAAAAACACTCTGATAAAGCACAGACACTTGAAAAGTACTTTTAAACCAGAGTAAAAATACTTCACTACTATCCGCCTCTGGCTCTAAACTGGCAATTTTCAAAATGTAAAGCGTGGAGAATTATGATAAACAAAATAAAGTGATTTGGTTTATTACACTGAGTAAATAAATAAAGGCAAATATTAGTCTTGTCAGTAGATCATAGCTGTGCCTCTCTGAATGGAGATTAGCAGAAGCTGTAAACAGACTGAGATGGAGTTGAAGAGTCCACTAACGGCTCTGTGCTGCTGTAAATGATCTGAACTGGCAGCATGACTCTCTCCTCAGGGCATTTCTATAAGGTGAATGTTCCTGTGATGGTGACGCGAGGAGCTCAGCATGTGCTGAACCCCGCGGCTGTGGCCCGCAGCAGCGCTCTGACCCATCTGTCTGATCCGGGTCCAGCAGCTTCAGTGTGTGAGACGCCTTTGAACCGCCAGAGCGCTGACGGAGCCTCGCTGTCCGCCTCTAACGCTCAGAGCGAGTTCACACTGGACGGCATTGAGTTCAGCCCGCAGCCCGCCGACATGAGCACTCCGCCGGCTCAGGCGCTGCGCTCCGATTACAGCCGGCAGCAGAGAGAGCAGTCCACTGCCCTTCCAGACCTGCAGACTGAAGCTGCTCCTGACATCAAGGTGAACACGACAGCAGTGCTGAGTTCTAGTCACTACCACCTCCAGACTCATTCCACCTGAGCAATACAGGACTGCACATCTCCGGAAATAACTTCTCAAATCCTTTCCTCTGTAAATAGCTCATTTGTGCGTTTATAATTCTGTCTGTGTTGATATATATTTTCTATACATTTCTATTGCTATATAGTTTTTTTTTTTTATTCGTTGTCTATTCTATTTATTATTAGTGTTATTTCATTTTATTAGCTTAAATTATATGTACACTGCCGTTCAAAAGTTTGGGATCACTAAGATTTTAATGTTTTTAATGGAGTCTCTTATGCTCATCAGGACTGTATTTATAATTTTATCAAAAATACAGAAAAAATAGTAATTTTGAGAAATATAATTGCAATAATAAATACTGTAAATAAATGCTCTTCTTTTTATTCATCAAAGAATCGTGACAAAAAATATATCACCAGTCCCCAAAAATATGAAGCAGCACAACAGTTTCCAGCACTGATAATAAATCAGCATATTAGAATGATTTCTGAAGATCATGTGACACTGAAGACTGGAGTAATGATGCTGAAAACACAGCTGCACATCACAGAAATACATTATATTTTTAAGTTAAATAAGTTTATTAAAATAGAAAACTTATTTTAAATTGCAATAATATTTCACAAAATGGCTTGAGAATTTTTTTTTTCTGTATTTTTGATCAAATAAATGCAGACTTTGAGCATAAAAAAACATTAAAAATCTTACTCATCCCAAACTTTTAAACGGCACTGTATGTCTGTACTTTCTGTACTGGACGAATTCCTCGTGTGTGTGTGTGTGTATAAACACACTTGGCAATAAAGCTCTTTCCGATTCTGATTCTGAAAGGGAAGTGACATCAAGTAATACTCACAGATAACAACAAATGCATTTTGCCCTCTGCTGGAATAAGATTGGTAACTTCTCTCTACCTCGTCTGTACGGAAAGACCAAAACAAAGCAAGTAAATATGAATTATAGTGATTCTGGAATTTTAAAAAATCATCATAAAACGGCAATAGTTAGAGAGAATTATTTGGCCATTGTTTGAAAGTGTTTGCGAAACCCATTGAAAAATGTGGATGTAAATCAGATTGTAACAAAGTCTGTGAGTGAGATTTGAGAGCTGAGAAGAGAAAATCATATGGGTTACTTTGAGATGACAGGAGTGTGAGTAAATAAGAGATTTTTCATTTCAGTTCACCTGAAAAAAACTGTCCTCACGTAGCCTTGTGGTTCTTGTGGTTTCAATGTAGAAACACTGCTGCTGAGAGATTGTGGTTATAAACACGACTCTGATGATGCTTCCTCAGCTTGAGACGGAGCTGCAGACCGAGCTCAAATTCAACCAGCTGCTGGACATCACACAGCTGGACGGAGTCGCTGACAGCAGCTCAGACACGGAGGAAGATGATGATGATGACGATGACCTGGGGCTCGTTGGAGAGAAGGAGTTTCTGGGAATGATCAATGCCACTGAGGAGGAGGAGCTGGAAGAGGAAGAGGTAATGATAGCACTTACAGCCTTAAACTGAAGCTTTCTCTTAGTCGTCGTGTTTTTTTCTTTGTTATAAATGTAAGCTGTATGCAGCTCATATATATGTTCTGAAAGTTTTTTTTTGCTTGAAATGAGGTTGTTACGATATCACAATTTTCGATACCATTGATATTTCTTTCAAATTTCAATTCTGATGTATCAGGAAAAGCTAATACTAGCAGCGAGTGATTTTTCTTTCTTTTGTTATTTAAGACAGCAGCTTTAAGACTGAAAGCACGGATCCATTATACTGACACACATCAGGTGTTCCTCAAACTGCTTATGTTCCCTTAAGACATTAACTGTATTCAGTGGTGGAAAGAGTACTTAGAAATTGTACTTAAGTAAAAGTATCGCTACTTAAGGAATAATTTACTTGAGTACAAGTAAAAGTACTGAAAATTAATATGACTCGAGTAAGAGTAAAAAAGTAGTTTGCTGAAAAGTTTGCTACTCCAGTTACTGCGTTACAAAGTACTTTAGTATTATTTTTCTATTTTTACCTGAAATGAGACGATGTGAGCATTATGGGGCAGGGTTAACCCTAACCCTAACACTCATGTACTTTAATATCTGTTTCACAAGTGAGACCCAGGAAATCCCTTATATGGACAAATGCATCAGATATCACTACAGCTGAATAACATGCAGATAGAGATGCTTTGACTGAAGGTTTATTGTCTTCCACGTTTCATCAATTGCAACGCTAATTGATAGGGATGCACCGAAATGAAAATTCTTGGCCGGAGCCGAACAAAATGAAACACTGGGCCGAAGGGCGAATACCGAACTCGGTGTTTAGCATTTTTCTCCCCATGTATGCCTATTTTGCCTTTTTTTTTTTTTCAACATTGCATAAATTAAATAGCCAAAATGTGCTTTTTACTGTTTTGTCCTGCTTTTCAAATAAAAAATAAATTACAAAACAACTATTTAAAAATATTTACTTAACACTGAACATTTTTTTTTTACATTCTAGCAGACATTATACCAACAAAGCACAATTTCACTTAAAATTAACAAGTTAGTAAAATAATATTTTTTGGCCATTTTTGAGACTTGAATCGGGCATGTATTTTTTACTTTACAAATAATTCAGATAGGCAGATAGAATAGTACAAATAGGCAGCCTTGCTGAGCAGAAGAGAATTCTTTTAAAACATTAGAATTAGGGCTGTCAGTTTAACGCGTTAACTTAATTAACTAGTTATAAAAAAATAATGCGATTTAAAATATTTTAACGCAGTTAACGCACTGGCCCCACCCCCAGACCTGTACATCATCTTACATTTCTTACTGTTGACAAATATGATGCAGGACAACAACTCCATAAATGCAGTTATGCCCTAAAATTCAAGATATTGGTGCAAAAATGCCCCTGTATGTGTTTTTGCCTCATATTTATTTCATACGATGTCAGCAATGGAGAGCCGTATTAGCTACACGAGTGCTGATTTTGTCCCGAATATCACAAGTTTAAATGTGATTTTATACAACAGTTCAGTAAATAAGAAGTTGATATTGTGTTATATTTTAAACACAATATTATGTGTTTTTGCTCAATTTGGCAAAGAATATATTACCTTTAAAGCCACAGCAGAACTGTTGTGGCTCTCCGAGCAACACAGCAGTGTTTAGTTTCTGAAGGAATCCACGTTCTGAACGAATTGTGTGAATCAATGATTCAAAAGCCCATTCATAAAGAGGGCCATTTACTTCATTCCTGAATGAATCAGCCGTTTGAACGAATCGAATGAAGGCATTTACCGCCACCTGCTGGCAGATTTAGTTTCTTATTTAGAGTTTTATTTAATAATAATAATTATTATTATTATTGTTAATAATAATAATAATAATAATAATAATAATAATAATAATAATAATAATAATAATAATAATAATAATAATAATAATAATAATAATAATAATAATAATAATAATAATAATAATAATAATAATAATAATAATAATAATAATAATAACATTAAAGGGATAGTTCACCCAAAAAAATTAAATTCTGTCATTTACTCTCACGTCCCTCATGTTGTTTCAAACCTTTCTTTTGTGGAACAT